CAAATATATGAATCCACTTATGAGGCAAATTCCTAGAGACAAAAAGTGGGGTGGTGGTTGCGGGGGCTGGGGGAGGGAATGGGGAGTTAGTGTTCTGGAGGTAGATGGTGGCGATGGCTGCACGGCGATGTGAATGTACTTAATGCCACTGAACTGTGCATCTAAAATGGTTAAAATGGTAAATTTTATGTCATTATCTTTTACTACATTAAAAAAAATTTTAAAAGCAGTAGCTAACACTTATTGAGCACTTGCTGTATGACAGGCACTGTGCAGAGCATTTTGTTTCTCCTATAGTTCTCAAAATAGCCATGTGTAGTAGGTACTGTTACTGTTTTCATTTTACAGATGTGGAACTTGAGATTTGGGATGATTAAATAAATCTCCCATAAGCCGGACAACTAATGAATGGTCCAGTGTGGACTGACCCCCAGGTCTGTGCGAGTCCAAATCTCACGCCCGTAAACACTGCCCTGTGCGTAGAACAGGCTGAAACGCGGGACTGGGAGAGGGACTGCCTCCCTCTCAGCCACCAACTCCTGATGGTCCACGGGCCACTTTTTCTAAATGTGGCCTCATCCTGCTAATAGTGGCGATTTGTTTTCCATCTGCCTCTGGAAGACCACTGCCCCTGTCGGGCTCCAGGATTCAGCAGAGCCCTTGTTGTGGCTCTGATCTGAGTTTTCCCGTTGCTGGATGGCTTGGGGAATTGTAAGTTGGCCATAACCTGCACATCATTAGTACATATGACCCTTATTTTAAAGAGTGACCCGTGTTGCCCAATCTGTTACAGACCACAGTGATTGACTACGTGAAGCCCTCAGATCTCAAGAAGGACATGAACGAGACCTTCAAGGAGAAGTTTCCTCACATTAAGTTAACACTCAGCAAAATAAGGAGGTACAGGAGGCTTGACACCCCTTGAACTTTCCCTTCAAACCCCTCTCCCAGTATGCATTGAGCTCATCCTTTGCACGATGGTTCTTGTGGTTCTGGGGAAGTGAGACATGTCGCCTGATGCTGGCTGACTTGTGCTTTGACGTGGAGGAGTGCTGAAGGGCCGGGCAGGGCACGGCAGAGCTCTTAACACCCAGTTGACATGGATCTGGGGGGATGTGCCTTCAGTGAAGGAATCATTTCATGCTATGAGGCTCACCAGTCCAGTAAGGTTTATGTTATGGAAAACTCAGAGAAGGGGCAGCATCCAGATCTCTGTTTTCTCAAACACAGGCAAAGTTGAAAAGAAGCATTGGTGCCATAGGGTAGGAGATGACTCTCAGCCCACAATTGTCCACCCAGAAAGGACAGCCAAGCCCTATCTTTAAGCTGTGACCAAAGCAGCCAGAGCAAAGTCAGGCCTGTACCGCCCCTGTAACTGACTCGGTCGGCTTTGTGCTGACCCATATCTGCCAGCCAAATAGTCGACACGACTGGCCCTGCCAGGCCAGAGAGGAGCTGACTCGTGTTGTGGGGTCTGCACTGTGTGACAGCAAAACATCAGTGTGCACGTGTCTGTATAGTAATGGAAGCTGGACTTTCAACCAACGTGATGTTGGAATACATGCCGACATTTACACAAGTGTGTATCCTAATACTGGGTTGATTCTGGCATGTTCCAACCAAAGAATCAAAAAAATTTTTGAGAAAAATTAAGTATTCAAATGAACTTTGTCTATTTGCTGGGCAGCTTTTCTAGGGACACTGGCTTTTATGCTCTTAGCCTAACCCCTCCTGTGCCCTAGTTAATGAACATTATCAATACGTGGTGCAGCTTAGACCAGAAACCTCATTTATTTCTATAATCGTCTCTCTGGAATGATTGTAGCTCCCCAGATGGTGTCCCTCTTAAACTGTGGACAGCTCTACTCCTAGTTTCCGGGGGGACCCGCGGACATCCACTCATGCTCAGTGTCCCACATCATGTTCATTGGAGCCCTGGCTGGTCACTCTCTACCTGGTCGGCTACCTCTTTGTTGTTATCCTGAAAGCAGCGATGGTGACAGCACAGCCCTGCTGGGTCTGGGGCAAGAATAAAAGTAACTTTACGTGGTCTGTACAACTCGACCAGCAGAGAAGAGGCTAAATCCCAGCTGTGTAAGGCTGGCCGCCACACAGAACGTAACTTTCATACTGCTAGGGGTTTAATCCCTTCCATGTCACCCTCTGGGAATGAGAAAGGGAACATGGATTAGTCTTTTTCTTTTGGGTCTCCTGAAACTCCAAGTTCTAACAGGACTATTTTCTCCTTCCTGTCTTTCTCTAGTCTGAAGCGAGAGATGCGGAAGCTTGCTCAGGAGGACTGTGGCTTGGAGGAGCCCACGGTGGCCATGGCCTTTGTCTACTTTGAGAAGCTCGCTCTCAAGGGAAAGCTAAACAAACAGAACCGGAAGCTGTGTGCTGGAGCGTGTGTGCTGTTAGCAGCCAAAATTGGAAGTGACCTAAAAAAACATGAAGTCAAGCATTTAATTGATGTAAGTGGCTGGTGTCCTATGGCTGGGGGAGCCCTCACCTACAAGGACCCTGGCTGGTGACCCTGTTGGAAGTGACCTAAAAAAACATGAAGTCAAGCATTTAATTGATGTAAGTGGCTGGTGTCCTGATGGCTGGGGGAGCCCTCACCCACAAGGACCCTGGCTGGTGACCCTACCTGGCAGGATTCTGATCCCTCACAAGTAATAGCAGTGAGGGCAGTGAAGTCTTCCCTCCTGCAGTGGATGTCAGATGCCCCATCTCTAGCTGTCTTAGCAGAGGATGATCCATTTTGACAAGACAAAGATCCCCAGCCTTGGGTTTTGCCATAAAAATCCATTTTCAGGCACTACAAGGGATGAAATTCTCACAGCCATAGAAGCCACTGTAATTGCAAGGGGACCTGTGGGCAGTGTGACCTTCAGAGCATCCGTCAGACACATTGATTCAACAGATCTTAGCTTCCTGCTGCCCTGGTGGCCGCCTCTTTGGGGAGGGGTGTGGGTTTGACAAGGTGCTATCTCCTTTCTTTTAAAGGAGAGCTCTGTCAAAGCAAAGAAACACTGATGTCCTTGGACAGATACGTGAATGCCTGTTTTAAAATACAGCATATTACTAAAAAATATGAGAGGGGTGTGGGTTTGACAAGGTGCTATCTCCTTTCTTTTAAAGGAGAGCTCTGTCAAAGCAAGGAAACACTGATGTCCTTGGACAGATACATGAATGCCTGTTTTAAAATACAGCATATTACTAAAAAATATGAAGTACAGTAAAGCTACCAGATCAGGAGACAATAGCCATTGAAAAGATAGTTTGTTACTCATAGATCCCAAAGGAGGGGTATCTTAGCACTGGGTGCCTTAAACAATAAAAATTTCTCATAGTTCCAGAGGCTAGGAAGTTCAAGGTCAAGGTAGCAGCCACTTTGATTCCCGGTGAGGGCCCTCTTCCTTGCTTGCAGATGTCTTCTTACTGTATCCTTAATTGCGGAGAGAGAGAGAGAGCAAGCTTTCTGCTCTCTTCTTACACGGACACTAATCCCGTCATAACGGCCCCACCCTCATAACTTCATCTAAGCCTAATTATTCCCAAAGGCCACCCTACCTCCTAATACCATCACACTGGGGGTTACAGCATCAACCTATGAATTTGGTGGCGGGGGGGACACACAAAATTCAGTCCATAAGAAGGTGTATGCCATGCGGGCCATGCAGGGAAGCACCGGGGTCGAGGGAGAAGGAGGAGCCGCAGACAAGAGCCTTCCCGTGGGTTCTGCAGAAAGGAGTGGGCGAGGCAGGGGAAGCAGGCTCAGCATTGGCCAGTATGAATGATTTCAGTGGAGTCCGGGGCACAGGGCCTGTCCCTAGTTGTCTGGTGTCTGGCCTGGGGTAGGCAGGTGGCCCAGAGAGTGAGAGCTGATAGAGGAGGTGGTTGGGGTGCAGGTTCTGGGTTGGTTGGATTGGATGAAAAGCCACGGGTGAGCTGTTTGCTCTCTCCAGGAACTGGCTAACGCCGGGAGGGGCAGTCCCTCCAGGGTCAGCAAGACCCCAGCTGTCAAAGCATCGGAGTATAGAAAATGAAAGACATGGTTACTACAGTGCCCCCTGTGTCTTGCTGTCCAACCATCTTCAGTAGCAAAGGAGAAAAAGCAGAAAGGGAGCTAATATAGGTACTCACCATATAAAAAAGAGTAATCTTTAAGTCAGTGCTTTATTGATTTTAAGAAGTGGCACGGAATCACCTAGCTTGTACAGTAAATACATGAACATGGAGCTCAGAATCAATAGGTTTATTTTAGATATTTGCTGAGCTAACAAATCCTTAGAAGTAGTAAATATTAATAGAAATTATAAGTAATGTTATGCACATTTAATTGTAGTTGAATAATATACCACACAGCAAAGGCTGATAGTATTAATACAAAATATAACAGTAATGGTCTCACAAATCATTTGCAATAGCAAGTAACCTAACACAAAATCCCAGCCCAGTTGTATGCTCAATGCAGTCAACAAGTGCTATGTTGGTGAGATTTTTTTTTAAGCCAAGAGCTGAGTTTAAGCCAAAGCTGAATGTACCCTAGCAAAAACGAGCCCTTCCATGTCTGCCTGTACCGTGGTTCTCCTCCATTTCTGGCTCCAGCAGCCTGTCTAGTCGGGTACACTGAGGGGCAGGGTAGGCAGGGAGCTAGCCCTGTTGAGATATATACTAGCTGTGTGACACTGAAAGTGGGTGACCTCACCAGGACTCGGGTCCCTGTGCTTAAGATGAAAGGACCAAACTGCATATAATCAGCTCACCCAGTGCTGAACATACCACGTGGTTGTTATTATTGTGGGTGATTTGCTGTATTTTTGGTCTTTGCTCTAAGCCTGATAACATAGTTGTAGCAGGTAGAGTCTGAGTCCCAGTTAGATTCGTATCTCTGTGCTGCAGTGTACGGCCTGTGTGAGCTGGGACAAGTTACCTGACCTCCTGGAGCCTGTTTTCTCATCTGTAAGATGGAGGTAAATGTCACATCAACCTTGCAAGATTATTGAGAGGATTACATGAAGTCACATGATATCTGCGATGCTGCAGGCAGACTGGAGGCCCATGGGNGGGGTGTGGGTTTGACAAGGTGCTATCTCCTTTCTTTTAAAGGAGAGCTCTGTCAAAGCAAAGAAACACTGATGTCCTTGGACAGATACGTGAATGCCTGTTTTAAAATACAGCATATTACTAAAAAATATGAGGTACAGTAAAGCTACCAGATCAGGAGACAATAGCCATTGAAAAGATAGTTTGTTACTCATAGATCCCAAAGGAGGGGTATCTTAGCACTGGGTGCCTTAAACAATAAAAATTTCTCATAGTTCCAGAGGCTAGGAAGTTCAAGGTCAAGGTAGCAGCCACTTTGATTCCCGGTGAGGGCCCTCTTCCTTGCTTGCAGATGTCTTCTTACTGTATCCTTAATTGCGGAGAGAGAGAGAGAGCAAGCTTTCTGCTCTCTTCTTACACGGACACTAATCCCGTCATAACGGCCCCACCCTCATAACTTCATCTAAGCCTAATTATTCCCAAAGGCCACCCTACCTCCTAATACCATCACACTGGGGGTTACAGCATCAACCTATGAATTTGGTGGCGGGGGGGACACACAAAATTCAGTCCATAAGAAGGTGTATGCCATGCGGGCCATGCAGGGAAGCACCGGGGTCGAGGGAGAAGGAGGAGCCGCAGACAAGAGCCTTCCCGTGGGTTCTGCAGAAAGGAGTGGGCGAGGCAGGGGAAGCAGGCTCAGCATTGGCCAGTATGAATGATTTCAGTGGAGTCCGGGGCACAGGGCCTGTCCCTAGTTGTCTGGTGTCTGGCCTGGGGTAGGCAGGTGGCCCAGAGAGTGAGAGCTGATAGAGGAGGTGGTTGGGGTGCAGGTTCTGGGTTGGTTGGATTGGATGAAAAGCCACGGGTGAGCTGTTTGCTCTCTCCAGGAACTGGCTAACGCCGGGAGGGGCAGTCCCTCCAGGGTCAGCAAGACCCCAGCTGTCAAAGCATCGGAGTATAGAAAATGAAAGACATGGTTACTACAGTGCCCCCTGTGTCTTGCTGTCCAACCATCTTCAGTAGCAAAGGAGAAAAAGCAGAAAGGGAGCTAATATAGGTACTCACCATATAAAAAAGAGTAATCTTTAAGTCAGTGCTTTATTGATTTTAAGAAGTGGCACGGAATCACCTAGCTTGTACAGTAAATACATGAACATGGAGCTCAGAATCAATAGGTTTATTTTAGATATTTGCTGAGCTAACAAATCCTTAGAAGTAGTAAATATTAATAGAAATTATAAGTAATGTTATGCACATTTAATTGTAGTTGAATAATATACCACACAGCAAAGGCTGATAGTATTAATACAAAATATAACAGTAATGGTCTCACAAATCATTTGCAATAGCAAGTAACCTAACACAAAATCCCAGCCCAGTTGTATGCTCAATGCAGTCAACAAGTGCTATGTTGGTGAGATTTTTTTTTAAGCCAAGAGCTGAGTTTAAGCCAAAGCTGAATGTACCCTAGCAAAAACGAGCCCTTCCATGTCTGCCTGTACCGTGGTTCTCCTCCATTTCTGGCTCCAGCAGCCTGTCTAGTCGGGTACACTGAGGGGCAGGGTAGGCAGGGAGCTAGCCCTGTTGAGATATATACTAGCTGTGTGACACTGAAAGTGGGTGACCTCACCAGGACTCGGGTCCCTGTGCTTAAGATGAAAGGACCAAACTGCATATAATCAGCTCACCCAGTGCTGAACATACCACGTGGTTGTTATTATTGTGGGTGATTTGCTGTATTTTTGGTCTTTGCTCTAAGCCTGATAACATAGTTGTAGCAGGTAGAGTCTGAGTCCCAGTTAGATTCGTATCTCTGTGCTGCAGTGTACGGCCTGTGTGAGCTGGGACAAGTTACCTGACCTCCTGGAGCCTGTTTTCTCATCTGTAAGATGGAGGTAAATGTCACATCAACCTTGCAAGATTATTGAGAGGATTACATGAAGTCACATGATATCTGCGATGCTGCAGGCAGACTGGAGGCCCATGGGGGGGAAGGCTGGATTCCTTCCGCACCAGGACTGAAGGCAGGAAGCATACTGAGCCTCCCTTCCTTCTCCACAGTCTTGCCCGTGCTAGGTTTCTCCATAAACACTCAGTGGCTGGTGGATAGAGAGGTTGCACTTAGAGAAAGCCTAGGATTTTAACTTTAAAACTAAATTATTTTTGTTGCAGAAACTGGAAGAGAAGTTCCGGCTGAACAGGCGAGAACTGATTGCCTTTGAATTCCCAGTGTTAGTGGCCTTGGAATTTGCACTCCATTTACCAGAGCATGAAGTCATGCCCCACTACAGACGCCTGGTCCAGAGCTCCTAGCACTGGCCCCAAGGAGGGCCAAGGATGGTTTCCTCTGAGCTCAGCGGAGCAGCACTCACTACTGGAAATGCAAAAACACAATTCAAACCTTCTTTTCCTTTCTTTCAACATGTTTTTGTGGAAAAGCAGTACTGGAATTTTTTCATGGGGTCTTTGGTCTGGTTAGCTGAGAGGAGCTGTGAGCTGCCTGCTGCTTGGAGCAAGGGAAGAGGAGACACGCTGAGGACAGACAGGCCAGGCCCTTCCAGCTGTCTTAGCAAGAAGCCTGAGCTGCCCCACCCAGTCTTCCTCCTGGGCACACACAAACCTTGCAAGCCTGGGCCAAGGCCTTCTCTCCGGACCTCTTCCAACTGAGAGCATGAAGTGCTAGAGCAGACAGGGGAAGAGAATCCACAGGATTGGGGAGATACCCTCGCTGTGTCAGAAGAGCGTGCTAATCTATTTTTGTATCAGCCATTAGTAGTATACTTTCTCCTGGGGTGTGTGGATGAGTGAGCAAGCAAGAGCCTGAGAGAGACTGCACCAATCCCAGACACCCAAAGCTGGCCCGCTCTTTGTACAGCAGCCTCGGCCTGGGGTCGTGAGCCAGGCTGACTGGCAGCAATTATTTCTAGGTGACTCCTACATAACTCACTCTCAGTGCCAGGCTGCTTGACATCCTCCGCCCTTAGAAAGCCACACTGTTTTTGTTACTTCTTCTACCACCAGTGGGACAAAGAAGACAAGTGCTCAGTGTTGGATGAGTTGCATGGAAGGACATGGAGTGTGGCATGCTCTGTCCCTTTGTGCTGTCTGCTGTCACCCCCACAGGCATCTATTTAACCATCGCACTTTCCCCACCATGGAGATGGCCAGGGTTGTGCTCCATGGCGTGTATTCCTGTGCTCTATGTTAGAGTGCATAATAAGCACATTTATTGTGCTATGTGTATATATAAAAGTGTTTTATAAAAATCCAGCGTAGGGGTGAGACGCATGGTTGGTGTTCTCAGGCTCTTGCAGCTGGGGCAAACCACATTCTGAGCTGGGGTTGCATTGATTAAGGAGGCAGTGGTGCTCATAACCACGTACCCAGGGCTGTCGGTGCAGAATTTTGATTAAGATTTGTACTGACTTGCTGGGATGACCTGTACTGAGGCACAGCACCTCGTAGCTGCAAGAGAGAGGTGAGGCACCTGACTGAAGCAAGCCCGTGGCCATGTAAAACAAGAATTAAAATATTTTCTATGTACATGTATGTGTGTGTGTGTAGACACATGTCTCACCAGTCACCACGGCCTCCACTGCTAATTCCTCTGCTATTCCAGGTCACACACACACACACACACACCCTACTGAGGTCACAGATCTAGAGCTGCTCACATCACCCCGGAGATGTTGGAGGAACCGGCTACATATGGCTGTCAGCAGAGCTTGAGGGAATGTGAGTCACATGGTGGAGAAGCTCAAGCAGCAGCTGGTGAGGGACAAAACAGAATACTTGACTTCTTCAGAGTCTTAGATTTAATTGAGTTTAGTCCTAAATATTTTGCTAACGAGTTTCCCTGGCCAGAATCAGTTGAAAGACAATTTTGGTGGAGGGATATGATTAGCACATTCTCTTTGGCTGATGGGAAGCTAGATCAACTGATATTTTGGGTGCACCTGCTGTTTGCTTATAAAGCAAACTGGGAAGCACGAAGCATTCAGAGTGTCTCTATCACTGAATTGCAAAATGCCCTTGACCTTCCTCTCTGGTGTGTGTCACCTCGCATCTCTCTGATGAGCTGCCTGGCAATGTCTGCAGGGGGAGAGGCTGTGGGGGGGGTGTCCATCGGACAACACAGGCCACCCACCCAAACGGGGAGGGAAGCCTGAGTCCTTCCTGTGTCTTAAAATCGGGCTAATATTCTTGGATTTGGGGTGATTTGGTTTTCAGCACTTAAGAAATGGGTTTAAGTTATTAATCCATTTCTTTTTAAAGTCTCGTTTTAACTTTAAACTCTGTTAGCCTGTGGATTTGCTGACTGGGGAGTTTTGTTGGTTTTCATTTAGTAGGGAGTGGTAGAGGCTGAGAATGAAGGCATTTTTTAAAGCAGTCTCCTCATAACAGTCTGTAACACAAGCTTTCTGGAGGCAAACGAAGACTAGAATGAGGGTGAGGGGCACGGGTAGCTCCCAGAGCCACCCCTGGGATATGGAACATTCCAGACACTTCCCCAGCCTTGGGCTGAGACTGCAGTGAGGCCACTCAGCAGACTGGTTCTAAGGGTTTCTTTGACCTCCACCACAGAGGGGCAGTTTCAACGCCTTCCTGGCCCTGTCCCTCTCAGGACTGCCCAGAAGTGTCTCCAATCCTCCCCACGCATAAACATCTGTGGGGAAGCTCTGCCTGGCCGCATGCTCCTGCCTGAGCCGGCTCCTCCGGACCTGGCCTGGGGACCCGGGCTCCTCTCCTGAGCCCTGCTAGGGAAGATGGGACCAACAGCAGAAAGGCTGGTGCAGCTGCCCTCAGAGGAAGTGGGCAGCAGGGAGCTGTCCCGCCTGAGTCCCCCAGCCCGGTGACAGAAGTCACCACTTTCCCTCCTTTCCCCCATAGAAAACCTATGTTAAAACAGGTAATCCATACAAAATGCAAATACGATTAGTTTTCCTTGGCTTTTTTTTCTGATCAAAACCTCTCCTAGCACTCTGTTGTCATGGGGGGCAGGGCTCAGCCCAGCGTGGGGCGGTCCCTCCTGCCACACAAATCACTCTGTACCACGTGCCCACCTTAGTGAGCGGGAGCAGGGGAGGGGCAAGCTTTCCTCCTCCGTGTTATCCCTTCCTGTCTGTGCCATCCCCCAGCGGCAAATAAAACTATTTGACACTCGTGCTGCTGAATTCTTTATCTCGCAGACGTTTCCGGCCCTCTGCCCTCTGCCAGCCTGGCTGCCTCCACAGACAGCATGAGAACCTGAAGCCTCCTGCCCGCCTTGCAAGCTGCAAATGGTGGGGGGAGAGGGGAGCTGGAGGCCAAAATCAGTTGGAACCAGGCAGATCTGTCACCTGTTCCTTGTGTTGTCTGGCCAGCGATGGGAGAAGTCCTTCAGAGAAGGGGGTGTGAAGGGGGGCCATCCTGAGGGCTCACCCCTCCCAGGGGCAGCCTGAGGTCACCTCCCTGGGGCTGTTGGGGCAGTTTGGTTAAGGACAATGCTTGCCAGCTCACAGCAGGTCCAGGTAGGAGAGGGCTGAGGGCCGGAGAAGGCAGTAAACATCAGATCTAGAGTCACGTATTGCTAACACCCACGTCAATAAAAGCCAGAGCTGAGATAAAAGCTGTAAAAGGAAATAACAGGTGAAGGGAATGGTCCTCTTGCTACTTCCACACAGCCAAGCCAAAGGGACCGAATCCAGAGTGGGAGCAGGCGGCCTGTTCCAGAAAGCCTGCAAGCAGAGGGCTGGCGGAACCACCAAGGCTGCCTGGCAAGAGCTGCTTCCCTCTGTTCTGTCTCCACCACCATCCCGCTCCCCAGTGTGGCCCATGCACCAGCAGCAGCCACCCACCCCAGGGCCTGATACACATGCAGAAGCTGCATCTTAGCAAGGTCCCCGGGCAATGTATGTGTATATCAAACTAAGAGGCACCACTCCCCCACGCAAGCATAGGACATAAAATTGCACAAAAAAGATACTATCCACCACGTATAGAGTTGGTCTAAGAGAAAGGTGCAAAGAACATGTAGATTGGTTTAATACCAAAAATAATTGTGCCAGCCTCTCACTGTGAGGTTGTTTTGACATCTGTTTACCTAGCTGTCTCATCTAACATTTTCTGGATGCAAAGGGCCAAAAAGATTTCAACTGAATTGAGCTACATGTAATATGTAGGTCCCAAGCACAGAGCTGGCTTACAGTGGTGGGTCACCTCAACCAGAGTCACGTAAGGTCACTGCTCAGATGAGCCCTGTGTGCCGGGTTCTCAAGGCCCAAGGATAGAGAGATGCAATGGTGGAGAATCAGGGCCATCAAGGGGGCTGGAGCTTCCCTCTGCTCTAACTGGGGACTATAGTCATGACCGTGACCTTGAGGACATCACGGATCCCAGTTTGCCTGGACATTCACTGAGGTCCACCTTGCGTTTATTAAATGTCTTACACTTAAATGGGCTTCCAGTTGGAGGGAGACCAGTGGGGGCAGAGGAAGGCACCCTCCTCAGGTCTGGGGTGCTCCTCTCCAGGGGGAGCCTCAGCAGTGCAAGGGAAGCTCCAGGGGAGGAACAGCATCTCCCAAGATGGGCCTGGAATGGACAAGGCCAAGGCAGCAGGGGTGGAAGTCAGTGCACACAGGTGACAAAGTGGGCTGAGAGCAAGTGTGGTCCCACGAGTGACAGCCAAGAAAGCAGAACCAACCAGTTAGCTACTTGGCCAGAAGACGGGTACGAATGAAATCAGGGACTTCTTACAAAGGCAAGGAACAGCATCTCCCAAGATGGGCCTGGAATGGACAAGGCCAAGGCAGCAGGGGTGGAAGTCGGTGCACACAGGTGACAAAGTGGGCTGAGAGCAAGTGTGGTCCCACGAGTGACAGCCAAGAAAGTAGAACCAACCAGTTAGCTACTTGGCCAGAAGACGGGTACGAATGAAATCAGGGACTTCTTACAAAGGCACCTGGACAGGTTGGCGAGAAGCCAGAGACATGAACTGCAGTAGACAGCTAAAGCCTTGGATGAGGTGTCTGACAAGGGGGTGGAGCTGGGGGGGACTTAATACTCACCAAGCAGATACACACCCAGCCCTGTGCTAGACACTTACAGCACAGGTTCTCACTGAACCCTCAAACAAATGCTAAAATTAGTGCCCTGCTCCCCTCATCTGCTTCCCCTCAGATGAGAACTGGGGCTCTGCAACACTGTATTACATGCCCAACAAATGTCACACAGTTATGAAGTGACAAAGGTAGGATTCAAATACAGATCTGTCTGATTCCAAAGACCCAGAAACTGGCCTCAAGCTTGGGTCAAAACGGAGAGACTGGGCTGGCGCTTAGCTCAGTTGGTTAGAATGCAATGTTATAGCACCAAGGTCAAGAGTGTGGAGCCCAGGACCAGCCAGCCACCAAAAAAAGGCAGAGGAACTCTGGGGCTACTAAACACATAACATTGTTCTCTCAGGGATGAGCAGCCTCCATCTCTGATGTGGGACACAAATATGGGCCCCCGATAGAACGGGCTGTTTGGAAAACTCGCTTCTGTGACAGGTGAGCTGAGGGGCTTTGAAAGTAAGTAGAAGATGGCCCTGAGGTGCAGCACGGCTGCTGTCCACGTCCACAGCACTCCGCCAGTCAGTGTCTCATGCGCATGTGTGGATTCTGCACTGTGCATTGTCATTAACACAGATTCTTTTGGCCCTGCTGCTCTGCGTGCTCCTTGGCTACAGTCCCTCCCATCAATGTGTGACTGGGAAACGCAAGCTTGTTTTGCTCTAAGGCTAAACTAAGTACACCTTGGGCAGGCAGGCAGCTGGCAAGGAAGGCCACAGCACACAGGGCCAAAGAATGGCTCATGGATTATAAGCTGAGGCTGTTCGTGCCACAGCCCCCAAGTGTCACAGGCAGACTCCGATTCACCCCACTTGCACAGCACAGGTCCTCCTAAGATGCACTGAGACCCTCACACAGTCCTTACTGCTGCTCTAGACCACCGGACGCAGCAGGGCAGAACTGCCATCCGCCGCCATATCTCCAAGCACCTACCACAGTGCCTGCTACCCAGAACTCGCCACCTAATACTGCTTGGGCTGAATGAACCATCACACAACAATGACCCCCCCTGGGAAGATTGTTCTCTGCGCCTCTGAATCAAGTCCCTCTGTTCAGCATCTTGCTCAGGGCTAATTCCATAGACCACACACCCAGCTTCCTTTGCCCTCCAGCTACAGCTTGTGTTCTGGAAGGAGAGGCATTGACCAGAAATCAGAGAGCAGGAGGAGACTGGATTCCAGGTTATGTGTTCCCAGCCCCCTCCCGCAACCGAGAGGGCCCTGCTAGACCCAGGGTCTCGTCTCACCACTCCTTCTCGAATAGCTCCTTCACTGAACTCACTTCGATTGCTCCTACTGCATGTGCCAGCAATGGCCCTACCTAATACACCTGGTTGGAGAGCAGGAGATCGTGTCTCATCAAGCACAGGCAGTTCAGGATTGTTCATACTTCCAAAGCATTCTGGAAAAAGCACCAACAATGGACTGGAAAGGTCAAGAAAATCACGCACCTCTCCAA